GGATCCATTTCAACTGCTTTCTCACCTTCATCTTCTGAAGCGTCATCATCCTTTCCTTCAGGGTGCTGGTTGCAAGGTCTAAGTGTGGTGGCTTTGCTGTCATAACCTTTGTGAATAGAATTACCAGCACACCTGTTTCATTTCTTGTCTCATTGCTCTCCTTCCAATAATATCTCAAAATCCTCTGGGGATGATCTGGCTAAACCAGGCCTCACCCCAGTCTGTCATCATTCTTCTTTGGGCTCATTTCCTCCTAAATCGCTAGTCATTGTAGTAGGAGGAGAGGCTGCTCGTGGTCTTCCGGCGTCACCTGTGGCTTCCATATTTCTCTACTAGCTTGGACTGAAATAGAATTTCCAAGGGAAGGAATCCCTGAAGACTTCAGCAAAACTGAAGAAGGTAGATCCAAATGTAGTACAAGACAGTCTGAAACTCCTGGATGGAGTCTTTGGTGCTACATGAAAACTCTCTTCTTTGTCCAGGTTTCTGAAGACAAGGGAAGTTGTTCATCTATGCAGATCACCAGTGAGGTGGCAGCATTGATGATGAAAGACAGCTTAGAGCTGATTGGAGGTCTTTGGAGGTCAGATGTGGAAGTACATTGCCCTACCTCCAGAGGCAGTACTAAAAGATGGATAATCCTAGATAGTATCTCTGTGCACCCGAGTCTGTCCTTGGTAGAGGTCAGAATGTCTGGTCTGGTATGCAGCCAAGATGGTATTGGGTCTGGGGAGAACTAAAAGGATAGGTCAGAGCATGTGAGAAAACTGAGAAAGGCCAAGGCCTAGGTGCATTGGTCTTTGCACTGAAGACCAGGGTGATCTGCTCTAATGGGTTCTTAAGACTTCTAACTTTATCATTTTTGTTTGTTATCTTAAATCCTTCTTTGTTTCCCAGGAGGGAAGCAACGTGGCTCAGTAGATAAAGAACTGGACCCCAAGGCGGGAAGATCCCCCCCCATATAAGCCCTGCCTCCTGACCTTAGTAGCCCAGTGACCCTGGCTGGGTAGTCTACTAGGCAACTCTCTCTGACTGTAAGCTGCCCAGCACACACCCACACCAATGGAATCACAGATCTGAACACTTTTTTTTTTTGACTAATAGTTACCAAGGTAAAAATCTTAAGAAACCTAAAGAGAGAGCAGGAAACTCCAAAGGAAGCACAGAGCCAAAAGCATCAGGGCCTCCGAGAAAGAAAACCAAAAAATGGTCACTGGGTGTTTCACCCAGATTGCTTGTGAGACCACACTGCCTTGGCGGACATTTTTCAGAGCTCTAGGTTAGAAGCATCAGCAAACGTTGTTCAACTTTGTTCTTTGGAAAACCTGCATTATTTCCTTCCTAAAGCTTGTATGCCCAGCCACCAGGGACTCTTGCTTTCTCACTTTTCAAAGGACAAAAGCCCTCACTTTCTGTTCTATACTGCTAATGGCTGCCTTGGGTTTGACTAACCAGAGTCCCTGGCCATTCAGTGACCGCTGCCTTCCTTCCCACTACACTATTAGCGTATTTCCTCTAGAGGCTTTGAAAGGCCAGGGATGTACATGGGGGTGTTCTCATAACTGGCAGCATAATGGGGATTTCAGGGAAGCTGTCAAGATATTTCTTGACAAAGTTTCTTGGAGGAGATTCCGTTTAGACCGGCTCATTGACATCCATCACTACACACACCAGATTTATTCCTTGCCAGCATTTTGTTTGGGTTTTTTAAAGCCAGGATTCTATTAATGTTCTGGTTTTAGAACAAAACTAGTGGTGACTGACTATTGAGTTTAAACCAGGTCATGTGCCATGAGGTTGTTTCCATGTTTGTTGAGTTATTGAAACGTCTGGTTTACACATGCCTTTGGCCAGGGGCATGATGGAGCCAGCTTGAACCGGTTCTCAAGAGCTGATTATTAAATTTTCACCTCATCAATCAGCAAATGCTACAAATCAAGGTTTGTTTTATTATTTTGCTGATTGATTAGACTTAGGGAAGTGGTAGAGAAAATGTTAATGCTGCAGAGAAAACTTAGAAGTATGTCGTGTGTACATGTTTGGTGGGTTTTTGTTTTTGTTTTGAGGTTTGTTTGGCTTTTTCAGAGAGCCAGTTGTTAAACATTTGCCAGCACATACTTGCCCTTGCCTTCTGCACAGTTGTGAGCTGCTAGAATCCCGTTTCCACTTGTCCACCCTATTAGAGGTTCTGCTTCTTGCTTCGCCACCGTGCCTGGTCTTGGTTTCCCCCAGAAGACTTCTCTATGTCTTCAGTGCCCTTGGCGTCCCCCTTCTGCAGTCTGGTGAACTAATCAATCATGAAACCTCATGTGAGAAGAACTTAACACCACCACACCTTGGGGGTAGATGTGCTTTACCTGGGGCTTCTTCAGGAGCAAGGCCTTCATCCTGCCCGTAACGTAAAGCCTTGAGGTGCATGGGGTGCTCAGGAGGACCATCGTCTCTGGCATGAGGGCTGCTGAGCCCTCAATTCCTAATTCAGAGCTGGATGGGACCAGTGATTCTGATCTCTAGATCCAGCCCTAGCCTTTCTCCTCACCTCCAATCCCTCATCACCAGTGACCTGTTGGACTTCTTAAAATGGATGTCCCAGAGGCATCTCAAACATAACATATTGAAAACAGAACTTGTTATCCTTCCCCCCAAACCCTCCCCTCTTCCCAACTTCTCTGTTACTGTCAAGGGCGTCCTCCACTCCCCTCTCAGTGGGACCTCTTTGAGAACAGGGACTGTCTTTAGCCTCTCTTTGCATCCCCAGCACTTAGCCCTTTGCCTGGTACATAGTAAGTTCTTTATAAATGCTTGTTAACTGACTGACTGTTTTTAGAAATCATATTCTCCAAATCTCATTTTACGGAGCCCAAAGTCATTCAGCAGATCCAGGACTCAAACCCAGGTCTTCAGATGCCAGATCTGGTACTCTTCATTGCACTACCCTTTTCCCCACATTCCCATGGCTGTTGACCTCTCCCTCCACCACTGATGGAGAACTGGCCAGCCTTAACCGGAGCCCTAACCGTAATCCTCCCCGTCATGCTGCTAGCATCACTCATCTTTTCAAGAACACTCTTTTCAAATGTCTTTGTCTTACAAGTGTTTGCCAGCTGCAATGTTGGTCAGTGAATCCAGCTTGGGACCTGCTCACCAGTAGGAGGAAGGATGGAACAGCCAAAAAGATGCTGGATGTAGGTCAGAGGACTCGGGTCCCAATCTGTCCCCTCACTGCATGACCTTGGACGAGTCATCTAAGGCCCTTGACGTGATCAGACTCAGTGACCACTAAGATCCTTCTTACTCTCGTCATTTCTCTGAAAAACTTATTCCAAATTCCAGGAATCCTGCTGCACACTTTAGGTGAGGATATAAATCTTTGGTTGGTCAAGGGCTGTCTTGTTATCATGTATTCATTTTTGTTCTAAAGGTACCCGAAATGTGAGACTCCACTTTATTCAGTTATTAACTATTGCTTTCAAAAGTCAAAATCTCCAATTTGGAAGAAGGTGAACCTGCTGGTGCCTCTAATGACACTCAGAAGTCGATTGGCTTCTCAGTGCGGAAGTCAGCTGGGACCAAAAGGCCTTCATAAGACTGGTCAGATGCAGTCAGATGACCAGGGGTCCGATCCTGTTCTATCACGTACCACCTGTGTGACCGAGAACCCTCATTTGCAAAATAAAAGGATTGCCTGGCCCTAGGGATTGTGATCTCCCATTGACCTTGTGCCTGCTACACACAAGGCTCTGTGCTCAGCACAATAGAGAATCAGGTGAACAAGGCAGGACTCTTGACCTCAGAGACCTTACAGACTAATGGGAGAGAGAAGACTTCATTATTTGTGTACCCCTTGTATCCAGAAATGAGGGAGACTTTGGAGAGTGTCCAGTGGGTCAGGCCAGACCATCCCTTTACTCAGCCCTGGAGCTAAGAATGGCTTTTATATTTTTAAAAGCAATAAAACTATTTTAAAAATGTAAAAAGCATTTTTAAGAGGTAGGCCATAGTTTTCCTATCTTTGACCCTGCCATTGTTAAATGAAAGAAACCAAAGCCCAGAGAAGGGAAGAGACCATTGCCCCAGGCTACATAAAAAAAATAAGTGGCAGGGCCTAGATATCCTTAAGTCATCAACCAATCAGCAAGCACTTATTAAGCACTTACTGTGTGCTAGGCATTGTGTTACAAGACAGCAGTGAACCGTCCTTAACCCGAAGGCATATGCAATCTTACATACTTATACAGGAAGAGATATTTGAGGGAGAAGGCCCTGGCGGCCAGGAAGCTTTAGGGGACCTTCGAGGTCATCTAGTCCAAACCCTTCATTTGACAGATAAGGAAACTGAGGTCCCTGGTGGGCCACTGACCTGCCCCAGGTCACCCAAGTAGTTTGTGGCAGAGTTAGAACTTGAATGTGAGTCTGCTGAGTCCAAGTTTAATGCTGTTTTCCAGGAAACAACCCTCTCCTCGTGTGATTGGTGTCCAAGAGAGATATAGAGAGGTTGTAGATAAGCTACCAAAGACAAGATCTTGGAAGGCTCCATGGAGGGAGTAGCCTGAGTGCTGGGTCAGATCTGAGTAGACGGAGATGAGGGAGGGAGTACTATAAGTGGAAGGGTCTTCAGGAGTTGGGATGCAGAAGTAGGAAATTGGGTGTCCTGTGTATGCACCACAGAGAGCTCTCCTGTACTGTCCACATGCCTGAGGCTAGAAAGGTAGTCTGGGGGCTGTCCTCTGGGGCCTCGAATGCCATACTTTGACAATTAGTGCATTTGTCTGCTGTTCTATCTAATGGTCTAGAAGATTTCTGCATAAAAACGCAGAAAAGAAACTGGAGGCAATTCCATCTTAATGTTCCTTTTCTGCATTCATCACGAGACAGAGTAGATGGAAACCCTGGGGACTGTTCTTGAGGTCTGTTGGATTCATCTTTGCTCAGAGGAAATAAGGTATTTTAAGTTGGATGGACTGAACGAAAATGCTCTTTTTTCCTTTTTGTCCCCACAGTAATTAGCGAAAGTCAGAAGCAACAACTGACCTCGGTGCGCTATTCCTGCCGTTTCGCTCTGGGCCTCTTTTATGAAGCTGGCACGCAGATTGATGTCCCCTGGGCCGCCCGGTATATCCTCAACAACCCCTACATATGCTTCGTCTCCATCGATAATCAGAAGCGAGACATAGGTCAGTGGCCCCGTTATTTCTCTTAAATGCTGTGACAGTGATGGCTGAAAGTTGTGCCAAATGTCTCTTAATTGCGTGTGGCCGTTCTGGACAGAGCCGGCACACAACTCCAAGCCATGGGGGTTGAAATTTCATGTCACATTTGGACCGTCACAAAACATACAATGGAACCGGGGAAGTTGGTGTGTTTTTTTTTTTTTCTAAAAATCGTTCACCACCTGGTTTGCATTACTGAGTTCATACAAACAGTGTCAGAACATTTGAAACATCAAAATATTTCTCTTCCAAGAAATAGCCCAAGATCTGTCGCTTAAATGCAGCTCCATCTACATTTCAATGTATCTCTCAGTTTTCACTTTCTTTCTCCCACCCCACACCCCAACCCCCATGCGGATTTTTCCCCTGAGCAGGCTTCTTGAAATAAGGAGTGAGGCTTCACTATGTAAAGAAAAATGTCTGGCCTAATTTAATTTGAGATGTTTATTTATTTAATTTTCAGAGTGGGGGTAGGTGGCAAGGATCTTTAGGATTCTTAACGTTTAAAGTATTGCTAAACCCTACACCCGAGATGTAAAATGCTGAGTAAGGGCCCAGACTGGGAAATCTGCTCCCCACCCTTTCCCCTGCAGGTGAGAATTGACTTGCAAGGAAACGCTTGGCTGATTCATTCCAGGCCTCTGGGGGAGGGTCAGGTTCTCGGGGTTTGTGATCCCACGGATCCTGTTTTCTTTGACTAAACTGTTATGCCCCTAAATGGCTGAGAAATCCCACAAGGACCCCTTAGTCCATTTGTTCCGGCGCGGGGCAGGGCCAGGGTGGTTCCATCAGGCCACAGGCTCTAGGGAAGCCAGACCATGGTGTAGGGCCAGCCCAGACATTGTCAGGCAATGCCGGACCTGCAAGTGTGGTTTCTCTATCAGAGCACATGATCATAGAAAAATGTTCCCCTTATAACTTAAACTTCTCTCGGTCTGCGGGTTGTGTTAATGGGATGCCGCCTAGCTGTCCAGTCAGCAGAGCATGAGCTGCCCTGCAGAGGTAAAGGATCACTTGCTTTTTCTCCACAGAGGCCTCAAAGAAAAAGAGAAGCGGGGAGGGGCCTCTTCTGTCACCCTCTCTGGCCCCAGGAAGTGGCCTAAGGGATCAGCTGGCTCATCGTTGACTGGCCAGCCAGTAGCACTGACTCAGGCTCTGGTTTAGGTTTCCCCTGGGGGTGCCATTACGGTCCTCACTTTGGGTGGATTCTGGAGGGCTGTAGCCAGCTCTCAATTGTCCAGTCAGTGTCTAGTCACAGCCAGGCAGAGACGATGGGGAAGGGCTTGGCAGGAGGGAGTCAGGCTATCAGCAGGGCTTGCCGTGAGCTCAAAAGCAAGCCGGTAAGGGATCCGTCACCAGGCATCGGGATTTGGCAAGGGCTTGAAAAGTCATGGAGCCAGAGCCAAATAGCTGACAGATCTCTGCAGTAAAAGATGAGCCAGAAATCAAGGGGGTTATAGGAAGACTGGAGTTCAAATCCTCCCTTAGATATTTATCAGCTCTGTGACCTTGGGCAAGGCCCGTTCTGACCAGCGTGTCCTTCGTAGGATCAAGGATTCCAGGATTGACCCAAAAGGGGTGGCAGAGACAGAAATAAGTCAGACATCAGTTTCTGTAAAATGGGGGTGATAATAATAGCACCTGCTTCACGGGGTTGTCTGAAGATCAGATGAGGTCGTGAATGTCAAGTGCTTCGCAAACCTTAATGTGGTGTGTAAATGTAAACTCTGATATCGATGGTATCGAGGCCAGGCCCGCTGCTCCCTTCTGTCTTGGGCCAGGTCCGGGTGTCTCTGCTTTGCAGGTAGGAGTAAGGACTTTAACGGAATTGAGGCTGTTGAAAGAATGATGCAGCTGTGACCACGTAACCGTGGCAGAGAGAGACAGAGAGAGAGAGCTGACAAGTAGGGGGAAGTCTGGCCTGTTCACGAAACCTTCGGCTCACGCAGACCAGGTTCAGTCTTGGGAACCGCATAATAATTACACCGTGATCTCCTCCTGGAAACCCCGGAAGGTGGCTCCCGTGCAAGCACTCGGGCTGACATTGTCAGATGACCTTAACCCAAGCCTGGGTCAGCGCAGCTGCTCCCCGAAGCTCCTCCAGTGCTATGCATCTGTCATGGGAGCCCCCTCAGGCTCTTGGCTAGGCAGACTGCCGTCCACTACTCGGTGCCACCTCCCACGAGGCCCTTTCTCCACCTGTCTCTCCCAAGAGTTTCTGGAGATGACTTTTAAAGTAAATTGCCTCCACAGGCATGTGGTGTCATGCTCTGTACTGTCTCCCTCCACCTGTGCAGGAGCATGTAGCCGTGCAGCACAGTGCTGTCCTCCAGGACACAGCCAAGCTCTCCTGGGGACCGGCTCATCCAAGCACAAATGGTGTGGACAGTTTCCCTTCCAAGAGACCTCCGTGTAGCCATTCTGGTGAACCGACTTCCCCAAACTGCTTGTACTGCCTGGACGTCTTTACTCAAAGTTAAGCACCTCCTCTCCCCTAGGATGGGCCTGGTCTCCCCGGTCTTCTCTGCTTATGGCCCTACTCTGGGCAGTGCTTCTGGGACCTTCCCCCAAACCTTGGAGTCTTCTTGACCTAGAATGCCCCCCTAGATTCCCTTCCAACAAGGGAAGAGGACCTAGGCTTGCTAAGGCATCCTACGGCCCACAGGGCTCCCAGTACCAGCCAAAAGGGCAGGTCCAGGTAGCGTCTCCATGTCATAGCCCACTCCCACACTTCCCTTTCTTCTCCCTTTTGGGTCTCCACCCAGCAGCAGCTTTCTCTCTCATTCAGCATCTCCATCTCCAGACAGATTATTTTCCTCATCAACATATGGCGATCATTCCTAGATCCACGTGTATTCTTAGAAGCCACGTGGGCTATGTCTGTGTTTAGCCCCTCTGGACATTTGTCTGGCCTTTTTTTTCTCTAGGTTCTCCAAGTTTGCCAAACCCATGCTCAGGTGTGTGACCATGAGCTTGATTCACGGCTAGACCCAAGGCCATAGAAGTCATGACCACAAGGGTACAAGGGTCAGAGGGCACATGGGATTTACAAGAGAGACTTCTACGACATCCTGGGCGTTCCTGGGCCCTCCAGCAACATTACTACGGGTGATTTTTTAAAACTCTTAACTCAACAATCCTTGCCCTACTTGGCAAGCAAACAGTTGAGAGAAGCATTTTTCATGCAAATGAGAAAGTGCCATTCCAAAACCGCATTTCACGAATGATTCTCACTTTTAAATACAAAGGCCCCTCATGTGCTGGTGCCCACAGTCCTCAGGAGGGAGGAGGCATCCGACCACAGCCAGGCTGACCAGCGTGGTATCCTCAGCCTCAGGGATTCCTGAACTGGCCCAAAAGTGGTGGCAGGGATGGGCATCAGACCTGATCTGTCCTAAGATATGCAGAGTGCCCCATTATCACCACACAGGAAGGGAGAAAGCAGCTCGAGACCTGAAACTTTCCTAAAATCATTAAAACAGCAGTAATTTCCAGCCCCTTCATCTCACCTGGGAGAAAGGAGCACTTTGGAAGACTCAATCACTACTGTATTCAAGTACTCGCAAGGCCGGGACATAAAAGTCGTTAGACCTGACCTGAGGACAGAATTAGCAGCAATGGGGACAGAGGCAGAGAGGACCCTGTAGGCTTGGTGTCTAGAAGAATGTCTTACCAATCAGCTGTCACAGAGCGGACAGGGCGGCGGCCTCCAGAGGCGGTGGGCTTCTCTTCCTCAGAAGTCTTCAAGCAAAGGCTCAGTGACCCCTTGTTAGGATGGTTGCAGTGGGGGTCCTTTTCCAGCCTGAGATTGGACTGAATGGGCCCTGAAGTCCATTCTAACTCTGGAATTCTGTGGTTCTGTGATTCAGGCTTTGTGTTCCTAAACCAGGAAACTGAAACACTGAAGAGAACCCTGATCTGGGGGCTCCAATAGCCAGAAGCAAGTAAGTGACCAGTCGATCAACCTGTAAGCATTTATTAAGCACCTGTGATATGCTGGGCATTGTGATATAACCATGTAGTATAGTAGAAAGAGTAGCAATCCCCAAGATCAAAAAACTTGGGCTCAAGGACACGGGTTCAAGCCCAGCAACTTCATTTGTGGCTATTAAACCTTCAGCAAGTCTTCTTGTGTCTCTGGGCCTCAGTTTATTGAATCATAGGCTCTCCACGGTCTTTTCCAATGAGAACATTCTATGAGCCTGAGCGTGATTAAGACGGAACACAAGACCTCTTTGTGTCTCAATGAGACCATGTTTTGGCCACGTTGAAAGCATTGACTCCATCACATGATTGACAAGATGGTGAAGTGATTGTTTTTACAACCCTCCCCAACCTAAAACCCTCAGAAGAAGAAGTTAGGTGCCACACACAGACAACTACTAAAACCAAATCCACAAGCTGAGAAGGCAGAAACACTACAGGGGGTTTAAAAAGGACCCAGGAAATCACATTGAAAAACTCATAGGCCAGCTGTGCCATCCCCCAACGGCAGTGACTCGGTCCACAAGAGGCAGCAGACCCTGATTCTGCCCACCCACCCAAAGGAAAAGTGGAACCAGGTGCAGGCAATGATGAGCCGGGTGAGGGGAGGTGCCCAAAGAAGAAGGCCCTTGAAACCCAGCCAGGGCCAGGCCCCTCTGCTCAGAGCTGACTCTCACCGCTCCACCCCCGAGTGCACAAGAAGTCTGAGGGTGCCCCGCCTTTGAGTGGTATGTGGGTGGCAGTGGGAGGAGGAGGGGTCAAATAGTAAGAGGGCAAGAGATTAAGAATTTAAAAAGGGAGGGGGCTAACATATCAAAAAGAGCAAGAAAAAAAAAACAACCCCACACAAAAAGCTCATAAGCAAACGAACCTGTTAACAGAGCAGCTCATAAGGACAGAAGGGAAAGCAAGTAAAAACTTAGACATTCAAACGCTATGAACAAATATTATGATACTTTGAAAGAAACTTCTCAATCATC